ATTCCTGCCTTACACCTTGGATCCGACTGTGAAGATCAAAGACATTATTTTGATTGTAATCTGAGATCTGTAGGGATAAAAATAGTGCAAATGCCAGAAATCCTGGAGATTATAAGAAATGGTCCTAGAGGTATCAGTGCTTCCTTTTGTCCCCGCAGCTCTCCCTGCTATCATTTCTCCCCACGCTTAGGGGACCTCTCCTGCAGGTCCCCATTGTGCTTTGCCTAGGTGATGGCATGGTGGCTTGCAGGCTCCCTTCACCCAGCAGGAGCATGAGCGCACGAACTTCCCACGCAGCCTCGCTACAGCGGCGCAACCGGCCTTTTCCTCCCGCGTCGCTGCCTTGGAGCTGTCCTGCACAGCTGCGATGGCAAACTGGGCTCCTCTAGCAGCAAGAGGATGGGAATAGGCCTGCGCAAGGCAAAATAAGAGCCCAGTGTCGGCATGTTCAGTTATTAATTAGTAGAAGCATTAGAAAAGTCCTCTTCTGGACTATTTATAAGCTCTCGATCCATGTCATTAGCAGGACTGTAAAGCTGCACCTTGAGCAGGCTCCCCTCCACTCTCCTGCAAGCTACCTTGGAGCATTGCTTTGCCCCCAACACAGATGCCAGATATGAGCCTCCTTAGTGATGTTTTATAGCCAACTCTCTCATCTCTATGTCCACTCTAGTTAATAAACATATCTAGAATATGTGCACAAACACACACAACTCGGGAGCTACACAGAACTGATGAGTTCCCTCCTGATTACACCCAGAGAAAATTAGCAGATGACTGTGACCTTTCTCCAGGCAAGAGCATGGAGAAATCCAGGCCATCACGGGAAATCGCGCTCAGGACACGTGCCCCAGGAGAAGCAAATTCACAGCGCAAGATGGTCAGCATCCTCTTTTGCTTCTTACCCCTGCAGCTGGGAGGCCAATTTGCAATCATGCAGTTTCCCTTTACAATATCATTTTCACCATCATGCTTGATGTGTGTTCAATGATGCAAGAGGTACCCAGGAAATGAAACAGCAGCAAAGAAGGGATGAGAAGATACCAAAAGTGACTTCTCACCACTTTTGTCAAAAAAAAAAAGCTTCAGGATTAAAGTGCCCCATACTTTATGCAGCTGTACTTTATCAAAGGAATCTTAAGGAGAGTATTTCTTTATATCCTGCTTAAAAATTTGACTAAAAGTATGATGAGTTCAGCGTGGGGTGGGGGGGAAATAAAAGAGGGTCTCTACGTTTTCATAGGCAGGAGGTCAATAAAATAGGAGACATTATCTACTCTCCACTTGTGACAAGAACCATGCCTGTAACTGCTTTTCACTGCTGTAAACATTTCAGTTAAAACATCAGATATTTTGCACCCGCAAGCCCAACTGGCAGAAAGCCAAACATTTGCCAGCTTCGCTTTGGCTGCAAAAATTTTCACACGGTTTCAGTGCGCATCTGTCACCGTTGTGCTGAGCCAACACCCATCATGCAGGCGGGCGAAAGGACGCTCCTGTTTTATGACGGGGCAAAAATGCGTCCGTCGGTCCTCGGATAAGGGCCAGGGGGCTGAAAGCATCTGCCCCCCATTAAATCACAGGGGGGGCCGTGCAGAAGGGGCTCATTCACGAGGAGGCTAGGACAGGGACTGGCCTTTCTGCGCGGTGCTGCTTCGCCGCTGGCAAGCATTTGGGAAGAAAAAACAGGAAATCAAACAGTTTTCCCTTTCCTGAACCAAAAGCTTAATAAGCGGGAACGTTCATCTGACCTAAAGCCCACTGCTACCGGGGAAGGGGTAGAGGGGGAAAGAAAGGAGGAGACCTAAAGCGACCTTGTATCCAGCTTTTCAGATGCCTGAAAGGAGTTGGTTTGGCTCCAGCCAGCCTTTGCAATGAACGAGGCTGCGTTCAGCGCACTCATCCTCTTAATGAGGATGAATCCTGGCAGCTCACCCTTAGGTAAAAAGGAAAAAAAAAAAAAACAAACAAAACCTTGCCTTGTCAGCTTGATGCACTCTTGAAAGAAAAAAGATCAAGCTCCCATCTTATCTAAAAGCAGGGTGATTTTACACGTTCCTCACTTGCCAGCGGCCGAAGCGCAGCGCTTTTCGGGACGAGCTGTGGCTGGTCGGGTCACGGGAAGGATCCGGGCTCCAAGTGGCTGCAAGACAAATTATCCTCCCGGCAGAGGAAGGCCAGGAAACGTGGTATCTCCATCCCTGCGCTTTGTGTTACACTGCCTTCAGCAGCTGCAGAAATGCTGAGTAAAGGCAGCGTTATCTTTGAAAACACAGAAGATCCCCCATGCACAGTAAATCAGCACTTGCCTTAAGTATTAACAGCAGCCGAAAACATACCGTGACACACAGACTGCAAACCCCAGAGCATGCAAACGTTGTAATTTTTGATATAGGCATATCTCATTGACAGTGCAGCTAGTTAACTTTACAATTATGGAAAAAAGCACCAGGGCAGCCTGGCTGTTAGCTGCAGGCAGAGAGACCGGGTCAATACAGCCGCTGCCTGGCCCCCAGGAGCTGCTCTGCTACAGGGTTATCCAGCTCGCGCTATTTAAAAATCTCAGCCTGCAGGAGAATTGCCAGAATTAACAATCGACAGTTTAAATCGAGCGCAGGATCGCCAACACCGTAGGGATTTTTCTTAGCAAAATATCAGCGAATTAGAAAGCGAGCGTTAGGCTTCCAAGCGCCGCGACCGCGTGCCCGGCTTTGCCAGCAGGGCAGCGGAGGAAGGAAGGGCTGCCCGAGACCTGCGGGCTAGCACCGGTGTAAGCATTTTATTCTCACGATTAACTGCCTTGCACCAGCTTTTCCACAGTCGCCAACTGAGCGACCTTTCCTTCTACGACTCGAACGCCTTCCCTCGGCACAAGTCCCACCTGACAGCCCTGCCTGCCCTCCCTCCTCCCTGCGCTGCATAAAGCAAAGTCATCCCTTTTGTCACCCGGCAAGAAAAAAAAAAAAAATCAGAGATACAACTTATACAGGAAAAGCACACTTATTGCGGGTGGTGTTGAAATGTCTCATTCAACAGCTCCTGCCTCCCTCTCCCCGACTCACCTTTAAAACCACGACGCAGCTCTGAAGCTTGCGGTGGGAACGCTGGCGCTGGAGGAGCGCAGCTGCCCATCGCACGTGGAGCGAGCACCGCAAGTAGGAATACTGATATGCCTTAAACGGCAATGGAAACTTTACGTGGTGCCCCAGTTTCGGGACGGTTGCGTGCCGGCCAACGCATTTCACAGAGCTCTGCAGGCTCCTTAGAAAGCGGGCAGCATCGCCTGCCGTGCTCCAGGTTTCAGTGGCAAATAGCTATAGGGCTGAGATGCCTCACTTAGCTTGGTATTAGTCTGGAAAAACATCCTAGAGAGGTTCTCACTTAGAAAACCTTGCTGCAAGGACCGAAAAAAGAAAAAAAATTAGCCTGTCCAGATTTAAGTCTCCTCTTTGTGGAAAGCTTTTGTCATTGATGCCTCTAGATCGGCTTCTCATTTCCTAAAGATTGAAGGTAAGTTAATCACCATATTACAGGGATCACCTCATCTCTCCTGCCCACTTTTTTAGCTTTGCAAAGTAGTATTGAGAAAGATTGCAATGGCTTTCGATGAGGATCTATTTTAACTATCTTTCGAAAAGGATGTGCAGTATCCTCGCACATCACTGCGACACTGGTCTGGGGGGTCAGGTGCCCAAGAGAAATCAGGAAGGAAGGGTCCGGTACATGCAAGTGGTTTTAGCTGGGTAATAGGAATGCAGGCATTTTAAAAATACAGCAACATCAGTGCCAAACTTAGTGCAAAGGAAAAAAGTCTACTTATAAGGTGGACTCCAAACAGGTAACAAGACAGAGAAAAACCTTCCTGCTCTTCGCTGTGCTCGCTCCGAGGGAGCTGTCTCTGAACAGCACCTGATGGTCTGTGCACGTCTATAAAGAACACGCACAACACTTTTCCCAGGGCGTTTTCCTGAGGGTAAAGCTTTCCCCCCCATGCTGACGAAGGGCACCGCTGGAGCGCTGCACGGCCTGGCACCGCCTGCGGAGACAGAGTGACCGGCCCCCTGGCATCGCCGTTCGAGTTATTTAGCACCAACGGTCATGGCTCTGCTCAGCAGCTAGGGCTTGCATACACCAGCAGGCCCTTGGAGAGGTCACAGCCTCGGCTTTTTCTTTTAATAATAATAATAACAACTCATCCACAAATGCTTGAACATTTAGAGACAGCGGACCTTAGAGAGCACCATCAGCAAGGACCTCCCACCTTTGCAGATTAACCAGTGCAGGGCCCATCATCTTCACAGCCCTGCACCACCTCATAAACTCCTTAACATCCGAAAGACAAGTGGTGTAAGATATCTCCAGACACACGCGCGCTGTCACACCAAGTCAGTAATGGTGAGTACTAGCTTGCT